CTGCCCCTGGAGGGGACTGGGGCGGGCGATGCGCCGGGGGGTCCCAGCACGCTGCTCCCTGGGGGCGAATCGCGGCCGGGCCTCTCCCCATCCCCGGCCGCCCCCGAGCGCCGCGAGGAGCCGGAGGAGGAGGAGGAGGACACGGAAGACAGCGACGAGTCGGATGAGGAGCTGCGCTGCTACAACATCCAGGAGCAGAGCGAGGAGAGCGAGGAGGAGCCGGCGGCCGTGCCCATCGTGGTGGCCGAGAGCCAGAGCGGCCGGAACCTGCGCAGCCTCCTCAAGATGCCCAGCCTGCTGTCCGAGTCCTTCTGCGAGGACCTGGAGCGCAAGAAAAAGGCCGTCTCCTTCTACGACGATGTGACCATCTACCTCTTCGACCAGGTGCGTGCCTTGGGGGCCAGAGCCGGGAGCCGGGCACGGCTCTGTGGCATTTTGCTGATGGGAGCCATCTCCAGCCGAGCCCCCAGTGAGGTTCCTTCCTGCTGTTTCCCCATCCCCAGGAAAGCCCCACGCGGGAGCTGGCTGAGCAGAGCTTCCCAGAGCCCACCCTGCCTTCGGGGCAGCCCCCCTCGCCTTCGGGGCAGCCTCCTGCCAGTGGCAGCCCCCCCAGCCCCACGGACAGGCTCGGCGCCTCCGACGACTCTTCGGACGGCAACGCCTCGGAAGAGAGTGAGAGACCAGGAGCTCGTGGGGCTGGTGATGGTGGGGTGGTGGGAGGGCAGCGGTTATGGGGTGATGGGGAGGCAGTTATAGGGTGATGGGGACAGTGGGGAGGCGGTGCTGGGGTTACGGTGGAGCTCTCACAGTTGGCTCAGCCCCTTCCCTTTGTATCCCAGGCGGTGGCTTCGAGTGGGACGATGACTTCCCTCTGATGCCAGTGAAGCCGTCCCTGGTGGCCTCGCTGCCGGGGACACCGGCGGAGCCCCCCGCGGCCGTGCCCGCCCTGGTGCCGGCGCAGAAACAGGTGCTGCCCATCCAGTTCTCCCGGTTCACGGTCTCTCCTGCCCCGGTGTCCCGGTTCTCCATCACCCACGTCTCCGACTCGGACATGGACTCCATAGGAGGTGAGTCCCTATGGGGGATGCTGCTCTGTGGGTACCCAGTGCCAGGATCCCGTGGGGACGGTCACCCCTGTGTCAGTCCGGGGGTCCCGCGGGGGGCCGGGACCCTCTCACGGCTGTCTGTGCCCCTTGCAGGCAGCAGCGAGGACGGTGACCGGGAGTGAGCCCGCCGGGACGCAGCCGGCATTGCCCCGGCACCGGGGCGGCGCAGGACGGCGGGGCCGGCGCGGGGGCCGCCCGTGGGCTCCCGCAGCCCGCTGGGCAGTTTTTAGGCAGATTTTATCGGAAAGGAACTCGTTTGCTGCTCGGAGTGGGAGCGGGGCCGGCGCGGCCCCCGCGGGGCCAGGCGGTGGGTGACGGTGACGGCCGTGCGTGTGCGGGTGGCTGTGAGCGTGCGTGTAAAATACACACTTATATATATATATATACATATATATATATAAATTATAGCGTTTCAAGGGTAGTGCCCTGACCTTGCTAACATTTGCGGAGTGTCCTCCCCAGTGCCGTTCCCCCTTGGCTTCTTGCCCACATGTGCTCCCCGAGGCGGTTTGTCCCCACACCCTTCTCCCCCGGGCTGTCCCCTCCCTGTGCCGTGTGCTCAGTCTTGCACCTTGTGGCAGCTTGGCTGTCCCACCGTGTCCCACAGTGTCCCACAGCTGCCCCATGGCTGCCCCAGAGACGCTCCACGACATTCCTGACCGAGGGCCCACTGGCTGCTGCCGCTCTGGATGTCACTCCCTGTGCCAGGGGTGCCACATGGCTACCCAGAGTGGTCCCCATGGCTTTGGAGCTCCCCTCCCTTGGTTTGCAGGGATCAGTCCCAGCTGGGGACCCTGAGGACTGCTGGGACCCTTGTCCATTGGAGTGGGGAGCAACACTGGCTGGTTGTGGGGGGAATATCCCCCACCGGGAGCCGCCAACCTGACTATTTTTGTATTTAAACAAAAATTAAAATACCCCAACCCCACCCCAAAACCAAAACTTGCTGTTGACTGAACCCACATTGATGCGATTTTAAGTTATTGCTGCCAAAGAGACTTACTGGGGAGCGGGGGGAGGGGGGGCGCGCTCGTGGCTCTTTGTTCCGTTTTGGGTTCTTTTTTGTTTGTTTCTTTCTTTGTTTTGTTTTGTTTTTTTTTTTTTAAATTCATTCGAGGCTTAGGATAATTGTGCAATTCCAGCTTCCGGAAGGAAATAGAAGTAAGCGGAGCTGAGCGAAACCTTGAATTCAGGGCTGGTTCCTTTTGGGGTCTATAGACCAAACCCTGAGGTGAGAAATGTCCCCCCTGAGCCCCTGCCCCTGTCCTGGCTCCTGTGTAGGGGGACGAGGGACACTGCACAGACAGCAGCCACGTGGCATGGGGCTGGTGCCACAGGGTGATGCCACCCTGGGCTGGGCTCAGCAGGACCCTGGGATGAGCCCGTGCCCACCCCAGCCTGGCACCGCCATGGTCCCAGCCCGGGGCTGGCAGGGGTGTCCCCAGACTCACCCCCCTTCTCCCTCCTCACACCATGGCCAGCCCTGGGGCCGTGTCCCAGCTCAGGAGGCTGCAGTGGGGGCCAGGGGCTGTTCCCCAGCCCAGGTCACAGCCAGGGCCCTGGGGGACCCCAACTTCAGCCCCAGGGTGGCCGTGCCACCCCCCCATACCCCCACTGCTGGTTCCTCCTCCTTGCTAAGCAATTAGTGCTTAGTTAGTGTTTTATCTAAGCCCCCCACCAGGCCTGTAACCCCCCCCAGCCCAATTCTCCCAAACTTCTTCCTCACCCTTTACAACAGGGGGGCCACCCCCCGCACTGCCCTGGGCTGCAGCACCCAGGGGTGCTGCCCATGCAGGACTGGGATGCTCCCAGGACTCCCTTCCC